TCTCTCTCTCTCTCTCTCTCTCTCTCTCTCTCTGTGTTTATAAAATATGAATATTTATTTACTCATCAGTACATACTAACTCATTACGTACTTACCAACCTCTTTATGTACTTTCTATTTACCGAATAGAAAAGGAGACAGGTAGAGAAGAATTGATAGAAATGAAGTTGCACTTAACGGAGAGATGCGCACAAAGAAAAACGATGTTTGAAGGTGGAAAGAGACTCGGGAGTATGAGGGAAAGGCACACGCATGCTCGCGCGCACATGCGTACACGCACACACACACACACACACACACACACACACACACACACACACACTCACACAGGTTTCTCTATCTCCTACCTTTTCCATCACTATTTCCTCTTGGGTTATTTTTCTTGAAAAGATTTATGAATGAAAGACATTCTCGTAATTAACTTTGGCACAACAGACTATTAACAGAGATCTAGCAAAGGCATGTTTCCGAAATTGTCATGCATTGGTTTGAAATGTGTGCGTTTTGGTATTCTATGTAGTCTATAATAGTCTATATTATTTGTGTTTTAAACTAAATTTAATATAAGATGTATGTATTGGCGCTCAAATGACCTCATGCAGTTGCGAGCGCCGTAAAAACTCTACTAGATCTAATAGTACTAAAAAAAACCCACAACAACAACAACTAAATGTATGTTTGCCATCGTAACCCAGTTTCCCCCCACGGTGATCAATAAGATTAAATGTTACTTATCTAAAAACATTTATTATAGTTGGAAAGTCAGAAACCTTTGTGTGTGGTGAGTGAAATGTTGTCCGATCAGTCAGTGTGATGATACTCTTGGTTTTTCTGATAACAGCAGCAGTAGCTTACCTTCAAAAGATTTCAGTCCAATAGGGTACACTGAGGAAGAGAAAACACACAAGCTTACATAGAATTATCTTTTTTTTAAAAACGACGTAAAGATCTAATCTACTTGTATGTCGTAATAGTATAAATTAACAGTTTACGCCATTATCGATACAGTTTAGATCTTACCTGTATATATATGCCATCCTGGTTCAGCAGGAATCCTACAGGGACATTATTGTAATTGCTAAAAAATAATAATGAATCAGCGTCTAAAAACATCGACGAAGACAAACAAACATAAACAAGAATATTTTCTTTCGAACGACAAAATACGGTAGCGAAAATTCACTCAAATCGAAACCAAATTCCAAAGCAGTGTGACGTTTTAGTTTTTAGTATGAGTTGTAGAGCACTTGCAACACAAGCATGTAATAAAATAAGTTCCGAAGATTAGAAGTGTTACAATACAGTAACATACATAATACATGTCAAAAGAAAAGGAAGAGGAAGGAGAAAAAAGGACGACAGATGCTTGTTAATAAGAAATAAAAAGCTGACCACACCAAAGCCAGATCTACCAATCCCTCACGGGGCGAGTTTGCATAGTGACTGAATTTTTTTCAAAATGGTAACTACAGGAATGAGGTACGGTAGCCTTATATTTTTTTTATTTTTGTTTGTTTGTGTTTTTGTTTGTTTGTTTGTTTGTTTTTTTTAATAGTTTTTTTGTGGTTCAAAGGCAACTGTTTACATAATAACACGTAGATCTATACAACAAGAACAGAACCAATGGATATTAACTAAAGTAAAAACAAACTAACTGTAATTTCTTACTAAAAGCAAAACAAACAAACAAAACACACACACACATACACACACACACACACACACACACACACACACGCACAAAAATAAAGTGGTTTTGCGACAACCCGCGTAATTATCAGACAAAATTTACTTTTCAGTTCAGACTTGAATTGCAGAGAACAATACAATTTGAAGTAAGAGACAATGAACAACACATGAGGAAATTAATTTTCTGTAAGCGTATTTTTATTAGGAATCATTATACATGGTGCCGAAGTATGTTAATCTAGTAGATCTAGCAAGTAGAAGTGCACAAAGACATGGATTCAGCGATATTATTGGTCTAAGGTCTAAACTAACAACAAAACATGGAAAAGAAAGTATAGGCTATTCAAACGACATATTATTATTATTATTATTATTATTATTATTATTATTATTATTATCATCATCATCATCATCAACATCCATCATCATTAATACAATTATTTATCTATTTGATTCCTTATGAGAAATATTGCTCTATCTGATACAAAACAACAGTTTCCACCTAGCAAATATCAAATGATCCGAGAGTTGTCCATTCTTTTAAAGTAAAAATTTCATTTCCCCCCCTTCTCTTTGCTGGGGGTGTTTGTCTAGATAATAAAAGAGGTAGGCTGCTTCCACCCTGCCCAACAGGACCAGCCCGTTAGAAAGCTGAAATGATGTTGACACCTAAAACAATGTCTTGAGGCATCCAACG